AGACCAAGTTACATGTCAGATCTGTGGGGGAACATTATTTATTTAATTATTTAATATGGCCAGAGCAATTAGATTGGGGTGTGGGACCAGATGTATTTTTTTAAGTGTTTATTGTGTTATTTTCAACACATGTAAATCCCACTAACAGTAAGAAGGTATGTTTTATTCTTTAACAATACTGACATACTGTGGAATATTCCAGCAAAGCATTAACATTTCCATGAAGCCAAGTTCCAAACGGGCACGGACCCTCAACCAGAAAAGTTATGCAGTGCACCCTTAAGTTATACTGTAAAACTAAGCTCCAAGTCTTTTTGCGATGTCTTAAAATCATAAGTATGAAACTTGGCCATAGCGCTCATGTGCTTTGGCCTCCTCAGCTCTTCCTCTACTTTAACAAACACAGACATACAAGTGCTGACATGCTGAAATGACACATTAATAATTCATAAGATCACTAATTTCTCCTGATTCACACACTCTTCTGAGCTCCACCACACTGGTTTACAAATCAATAGTTTGAGGTGTTAATAAGACACTTGGTCTGATATGCATAATATAGATCCCTGTGTATTATAGACTGTAACAAGTGATTGAATTTTAATGTGGTGTTGTTAACCATTGCTCTTATGTATTGTGTTGTGTCTCTTAAGTGAATGAGAGTCCTTAAGAGTCCATTGTTTGAGACACACTAATTATAAATTCAGTTCCAAGTTGGCTCATGATCAAATCTGTGTCTCTATTAGGGTCTGTAGCTTTGATCTTTTTACATTAACCCACTGTGGACAGCTTCATTTACACAGGAGTCTGGACCACTGAAAAAATAATGAAGAGGTCACTTTGTGTGTTAACTTGAGAACTTTTGAAATACAAATATTTGAATGACATGTTGTGTTTCGAGTTGGAGTAAATACAGAGATAAAACCAACTTAAAATTTGGTGGCGAGGGAGTAGAGATGACTGGACGAATGATACTTTCCAGTGACATTGCACTGGAGGTGTTTTACATGTATCCCTAACGTTGGAATGTTTAGGAGTTACCATGGTGATGCAATGCACTCATTAGCACACACTGGCCATGTTTACATAATGTTCTTTTAATTCAGAATTAATTGTTCTGAGTGAAATAGTTCGGTATTAAAATATTCTCTTTCAAGTTTACGTGGAAATAATAATCGAATAATTATTTTCATTAGGAAGTGTTTATGTGTTCTTTTTAAAGTGAAATACATTTTTATTCAGAATTAAATTATTTTTATTCGGAATTAAAGCTCTCAAGTAAATGTGGCAACTACTGTCAAAAAAGTGTGTCTAAAAACAATATGGATTATTCAAGATATTTTTGGCGCCTATGATCAATACAGATGTTCATGGTCCTGTTTTGGAGTTTGATTTTCAACTAAAAAGTGACAGTGACTAACTAGCTAGCTTGTGACTTTAATGTTATTAGAGAGGGCCTTGTTTAACAGCTCAGCTCACTCGTTTTATTTCCAACCAAATCAGCTCTTTCTGGTCAGATTATGTTAAAATAAAGATCAAATTAAAGTTTAACTTGAGTAACAGAGCTTCTACGAATTTTCTACGACATCAGCAGCAGTATTATTGTAACTGTTGCATCTTGTTAAATACATGTACTGAAAATACTGTATGTATTCAAAGGACTGTATTGCAGTATAGTTGTACATTTCTTTCAGGATATAGATTTCAAACTGGACAGTGGGAAAAATAGAACACACAGGTCTTGTGCTGCATATAAGTGTGCTTTTTCCTTATCTTATGATATAAAAATAAAAATGATAAAAAAATAGATCTTTCTTTTTTCACTTCAATACTGTTTTATTGAAATTTATGTAATGTGTATATATAAACAGTATAAACTTAACCATGGCGCTCTCTCTTCCCTTTTAAATCAGCTTCAGAGTTTTGCTATTGTCAGCTCCAACTCAATGTAGTGTCAATGTGCGGTCTAGTGGTCTGTGTGAACTGTGACTTCCTGTTGCCCTGGGCGAATTCGGCCTTTTCTGTTGTAGTAAATTCTCTGAGCCCCAGAACTGAAATGTTTTAAAATCCAGCCGTTTTCTTTTGACACTTTCACAGTATTGTTGATAAGACTGAATTATCTCTGCCTTCTGTTTCGTATTACAGCACATGGCAGTAATCGTGTTTAGTCATTTTTATTTATTATTATTATTATTCAACAAAACCCCACCCTCTCTTCACGCACACACACATAAAACTACACAAGAACCAGTACATCAAATGTCAGTCAAGTCCAGCCCTGTTGAAAAGTTCAAAAACCATGTCCATGTCAGCTCCAAGTCCAGTCATGTCTCTCTCACAGAGTCATTTTATCTTCTGATCTTGTGCCTTTGTCATTCATTGATTCCCCTTGATAAAAAAGAAGAAAGAAGTTTACATTGTTATGGCAAAGTTCTCCTCTTCCTCACAGTGTGTGTTTCAGCACCATGGAGAGAGACACTGGAAAAACAGCACAGGGCTCAGCTGAATATTTGATCTCCTCCACAGTCCAGACTCTCTTATATTAGAGACAACAGCAGGTCAATGCTCTGGACTTTAACCTGCAGATGTGTTACTGAAAATACAGGCTATCACTCTTCAGTCACTGAGGTCTGGACATGGGAAGGATCTGCCTGCTGAAATAAAGAAAGAAAGCACAACAATGATGACTTAATGACTTCCTTAATGGCGCGGTACTAAATTTATAGTGTCTTAAAAACATCAAGTTCATTTTAAATGGTTTGCAGTGGTCCAAAGTTGTTTCTCACTTTAGGCTTTCCAAACATCCTAATTATTCACTGGAATGAGTTTTTCACAACAGGCCAGAATGGAGCTTTGCCTTCACATTAAAGCCAACAACAACTAGCATGCAAACAACTTCCTGATTGTCAATACAGCACGCAGCTGACATATTTTGACCTTAAACTGCTTATATAATATATCAGTACCAGGACAAGACAAACTTTCCTCAACTACTACTACAGGTACAGACCCTTTAATGACAAGTAAAAACGTAAAAGTAAAAACAATAATTGCTAGGGACAATAACAGAATTATCGTGGTATCGTATCGATACATTTTTCACAATAATATCGTGGACCTTTACAACATATTGAATTACAAGTCTCTTTGCTTAAATTAAAAGTTATGGTGCATCAATGGAAAAAAAAGACAGAGGGAACTACACAGACCATGATCTTTTGCTCTATTTCAGTGCAGACTACAAGAAGAAATAACAGTTCTTAGCACTTTTAAGTTTTAGTTCTTTGGATTAAGTCTTGTCAAGGCATTTAAGAGGAAAAGGTAGCATATTAACAGTTTTGTTAGCCTCCACAAAATATTGCAATAAATATCATATCGTGAGATGTATATCATGAAAACCAAGAGATTTGGATATCGTTACATCCCTAATTGTGAGCCTCCCCACCATATCATGAGCTTTCCCACGATATTGCAATAAATATTGTTCAGTGAGGTTCATACCGTGACAATATCGTATCGTGACACTTGGATATTGTTACACCCCTAATGTTTGCTTTGGAAAAGCAAAAAGAAATGCTTTCTATTCACTCTTGGATTGCTGACAATGTCCAGACTCTCAGACACTATAATAAACCATGAGCTTTGTACTTTCAGTTATCAGTTTCGTAATGTTATAAAACACAAAGTACTGGCTTTGTTTCAGGAGAAGTATTTTTGTTAAGTACACATTTTCCTCTTATACTGTTGGAGTAGTCCACAGTTGGTCTCTTTGTTCCACTCTCTCTCTCTCTCTCTCTCTCTGTCTCTCTCTGTCTCTCTCTCTGTCTCTCTCTGTCTCTCTCTGTCTCTCTCTCTGTCTCTCTCTCTCTCTGTCTCTCTCTCTGTCTCTCTCTCTGTCTCTCTCTGTCTCTCTCTCTGTCTCTCTCTGTCTCTCTCTCTGTCTCTCTCTCTGTCTCTCTCTCTGTCTCTCTCTCTGTCTCTCTCTCTGTCTCTCTCTCTCTGTCTCTCTCTCTGTCTCTCTCTCTGTCTCTCTCTCTGTCTCTCATTTGAACATTTTGGTGTGAGTTTAACGAGATGCTAATCTTGTCAACAGCTTTTAGGTGTGTGCGTGCTTTTCCTTTGATCTCTGGTTCATATGGTTCTACATCTGTGCTGACATGACAAAGGCTCAAGCCCAGATGTGCGGCCAGCTGCCTGTGTCCGGGACTGCTTTTGTCTGTGCCTCAAAAGGCGACTGCAGCATCATCTTTAAATGTATAAATATAACCATAAAACCACCTGTAATTGTATAAATGTAAGGTAGAGGTGTTTAATGTCATACTGTGGAACATTCCAGGCAGAGCAATGACATACCCATGGAAACAAGCAGGTGATGAACCCTCTACAAAAAGTTACACAATGCATCTTTAACTGTACTAATATGAGCACTCTTTCTGACGTAAGCAACAAAGCCGTGACTCCTAACCTCAGCTTCATTCAGAGATTCCACTTCTCCGACACTTGAGCCCACAAGGGAATGCTTGTTTGCGCTGGAGCAGGGAACGTGGTTGCAGTCCTTATATGGGCATGTAGTTTGGTTAGAGCAAGTGCGTTTGCCACAGAATGAATCAGTGCTGTTACATCAGAGGTATGGGCAGGCGGGATGGATCACTTCACTCCCATTGGAACACACACTTCCGCTTGTATCTGTTTGTGTTTGTGTGTGAGAGAGAGAGGGAGGGAGAGAGGGAGAGAGAGGAAGAATGGAAAGACACTGATGTCCTACTTTTACCATCATGAAAACGTGTGGACTATTGTGCTGCCGGTCTTTGTGAATGAGACCCTTCTGAAAACTTAAGACATTCCCATTCTTATAAAAAATATAGATAATATGTCACTGTAGTGATTCAAAGGATGAGATATTGTGTAACAAAAAACACAGTATTTCCATTGTTTTATATTGCCCTATTTTAAAACAGCCAATGTACCAAATGTTAAGTGGGTATTCTCTCTGTTCACAGGTACTTTCCAGGGTCAGTGGGTCGGGGGTATGCGTCATGGTTATGGAGTCCGACAGAGCGTCCCATACGGGATGGCCGCTGTCATTCGCTCCCCTCTGCGCACGTCCATAAACTCCCTGAGGTCCGGCTCAGAGCACAGCAATGGCACTGCTCTATTGGACCGGAGCGGGGCTGTGGTCCCGGTGCCCCCCTCTGGTCCTGGAACCCTCACCACCAGTGTGTCCATGTGCAGCACCGGGAGCAGCGGCAGCAGCCCCGCAGTGTCCCGGGGGGGCTTTGTCCTGACCGCCCACAGCGAGGCTGAGCTGCTCAAGGGCAAGAGGAAGAGCGGCCTGTTCAGGAGGTCCATCCTGTCCGGACTCAAACTCAGGAAGTCCGAGTCCCGGAGCTCTCTGGCCTCACAGAGGTCCAAACAGAGCTCCTTTAGGAGTGAGGCTGGGATGAGCACAGTGTCATCTGCTGCTTCAGACATCAACTCCACTATCAGGTAACCATAACAATACTCACCAAATGCACTTTTCTGATTAAAAAACACCAGTCAGTGGGAGGGGAGGGCAGCCTCTTAATTGCGAGTTCAAATCCAGCCTTTAATTCATCGAACACTTGATGAGACTCTTTATAAATTCTGAAATAGTTATTTCCTGAAAATGAAGAGGTCTGTGCAGATACTGCGTTGTTGGGAGAGGACTGGTGGATGGCTTCTAAAAGGATTGCTGAATGTCTTTCACTGCTAAGTTCCTCATGTATTAAACTCTGACCTCAATTATGCAAATAATAATAATGAAACACAATTGGTCTACCAATTTTGAGACTATTATCAGAAGAACTGTTACTAGGTCGGGTTTTGAAAATGCAGACGTTGCCTTTTGAAATGTGCTTCTTGGTGTGAGGTGTTCTTAAAGTTCAGAGTCAGACATTTCTGTTGAAGTCAGGCGACAGGAGACATTAAGGCAGCAGCTGGCCCACTTTAGTACCTTTGGAAAGGCCAACCTCTTGTGCAGCTCAAGGTGGCCCCAGTCTGAGATTAAACTGAGAGTTTACTACTGACCTGGCATGGTGCCCAAGAGGACGTTTCCTGTGGTCATGTGACCTGCTGGTGATTCCTCTGTGCCTGTGAAAATGTAAATGAACAGAAGTTTTCTGTCATTTCAGTTTCTCATCATCTGAGGCTGATTTGCCTGCAATATTGTTGGATTATAAATATGTGATCATGTTTGAAGATTAGTTACCAATTAAAGCGAGAACGATGTCAGGAGTCAGCAGCAGCTCTTGAACTGCTCATTACCAGAAGTGTTGACAGCAACTGATCAGGCAAGATTAATTTCTGACAAAGCTTATAATGAGAGACACTTTTAGATTTGTTTTCAATGACATACAAAGCTTTTGTGAATGAAGCTACATTTTTAATCAAAATTAAGACCTATCAATTTCAACTTTGACAATACAATACAAAGCTTTTGTAAAGTAATTTGCATATCTATCATGTTGTCTAATTATACTAAACTAAAAATAAAGCAGTTGGTCTCTAATAACTGATACACATGTCTATATTTCAGTCTAGGAGATGGAGACGCTGAGCTGGCAGTTGCTGACGATGATGTGGACGCCACGGCAACAGAGACCTACAGCGGCGAGTGGAAGAATGACAAGAGGACGGGGTTTGGGGTGAGCCGGAGGTCCGACGGGCTGCAGTATGAGGGGGAGTGGCTCAGTAACAAGAGGCACGGATATGGGTGTACCACGTTCCCTGATGGCACCAAAGAGGAGGGCAAATACAAGCAAAACATCCTGGTGAGCGGAAAGAGGAAGAACCTGATTCCCCTAAGAGCCAGTAAAATCAGAGAGAAGGTGGACCGGGCCGTGGAGGGGGCGCAGAAGGCCGCTGACATCGCACGGCAGAAAGCAGAGATCGCCTTGTCCAGGTACAGATGTGTTGTTTTTAAAACCTTCATTACTCCACCACCACAAGCAAGGAATTCATTGTAAAGGGCCCATATTATGTTATTTTCTGATATGTTATAATGTCAGAAACATACCTGGAATTGTATTTTGTTTCCTTCACGTATGTTTAACACTCCACTGTGTTTTTAATACACGTTCACTAGAATAATTTGGATATTTTCAGACCTCACATTGCAAATCTCTACTGAACAAAGGTAAAAAGTAGCTGTGAAACTACCACTTCATGACACCACAAGGTGGGACAGAGCATTTTGAGCTTTGGAGATGTAGACATACTACTAATAAAGAATTAATTGGACATGTGTGAATGAAATAAAACACTTCAGGTATGTTTTTGAGGAGGTAACAGGCTTAAAGCTCAGAAGTGTCAAGTCACTTTTGCATAATACAGGACCTTTAAATTAAGTGAAACTTGATTATTGGTTGATTGATTGATTGCTTGATTATTATTGAAGCTTTGATTTTTGTTTGGAGACTTTTCATAACTAAGTAAGTAAGGCATTTCATGCGTTGAATGTTAATTTACCTTTTGGTTTGTGCTATACTCAAAAATTGTGTTTTTGCGAATGAGGAAAATAGTGTGGCGGTGAACTCTTGCGGATCGGTTTAACTGAGATCAATGACAGATTAAAATCAGGGCTTAGGTGAAGGTGAACGACGGGTTAGGAGGTCGGGCCCATTGCACTCGGCACTCTCTGAACAGCGATATAAAGCAACATTTTTATTTATCAGCTCTGACCCCAAAGCAGCTGCAGGCATGGACACATTGATACTGTTTTCATATCAGGACCAATCAAAAGTAGGTCTATAACCCAATTTGCTCTCACGAACCAGGTTATAAGGCTGTCTTAACAGTTCTGTATCATTTATAGTAGCTATGTCCAACATCATGTAATTTTCCACTTAATATTAGGCTAAACCATTGTATTTGTTTGATGAACTTCATATGGGGACATAAATGCAGGCTTTAGTAGCATAGTAAGAAGTTGTGCTTAAATTGGTGTTGCGCAAGACCAAAGTGTTAATAGTTTTGGGTGAAAGGTACTCCTGATCTGATAAGCCACCAGAGATTTCAGGAATGATTGGCCTGTAGCTATGATATTATGTGACATAGATTATAACACCTGGAAACAGAATCTCTTTAGTGACAGATTCAACTATTTGGTTGGTCTGTTTGTCTCTGCAACATGTGTGATTAATTTGTTGGTAGAAACACAGAGACATCAATCCTGTATTGTTGACTGAGGGTAAAAAGTTATACATTAAAACAGCTGTGAAAGAGAACAGGCCAATAGAGTGACTAAGATATTTAGTGAACAGTGCTTACAGCGGAGAGCCCAGTGTCACGCACACAGTGCATACAGTGCATACAGTGCATCGCATGCAGAGGATACTTGAGCTGAATCAGTAAAGATCCAATCCTATTAGTCCCGTTGGCCGCTTTCCTCTGAGGGCACCAGGGAAACAGTGCTGCTGCAGCTTAAGCAACGCTCCACTCACACAAACAGCAGAGAAAATACTTCATATGGAGCAAGACAATGTTTAGACCAGTAGCCTCTAGATTTACATAGCAAATGCTAGTGAATTCAACTAGTTTTGGATTTGGATTTGTGCTTTGGTACATGCTGCGTTTGTGTAACTAATGCCAAACTTTTAATGTTGTTTTGTTTTTTTTGTTTTTTTATCTTGAAGAGTTTTGGGTCTCAGCAGCTCTTACCTTGAAAAATGCATTAGAAAATGTAATCCAGATTTGAGCTTGTACCAGGACAGGACAGAGTCTGTCCCAGAACAGCAGGTATTTCCTAATAGGACGCCCCGAGAGATCCTTAGAGGTAAAATAGAGAACAGAACAAGATTTCTTAAACTATTGGCATTTGGCAAGAGTTATTGTTTACTATTGAAAAAAATATGGGATGTCACTTATGGCTGAATAGAATAACAAAGTTAGGACCTTAGTTGGACTTTTTTGTCAGAATTATTGCTAGATAATGAATTTAATATATTGGATGTGCAGCCTTTTCCTTGTAATGGATGCATATCTGTGCAAAGTCTCTATTATGTTGTCTCAAATTTTTTTATGTAAAAAATGTTCACATTAAAAGGTGAAGGGGGCTGTGCAGCAGGACAAAAGAGGCAGAGACAGTGTAAGGGAAGAGCCCCGTTCCCCTGTCTAATCGGATCAGTGCCCTCTAAGCACTCCCGTTGTCTCCGTCATTACTCCACTAGCCGAGGACGATACATGATTCATACCTGGACATGAGCATCACTCTAAAGTCTGTTCACGGGGCTCAGAGGATCAGGCCAGGGCAGACACTCGGGCAGACGCTCAGTGAGTCAGGATACAACAGGGACAGCAAGCCATGGATTACATTTGTTATTTATTTAAAAAAAAAACACATGACACAAATACATAATTAGATGTCAAGGAAATTTTACTTTAAATTAAAATTTTACTATTTTCTGATCTGTATTATAATGTTATATAATATTGTTATGTAATGCTTTAATGTTTCCTGATCCAAAACATACCAGGAGGTGTGTTTTGTTTTATTCACGCATGTTTAATACAGAAATCTTGCACATTTAAGTAATAAGTCTAATAATAAAGAGTTACCCAAACATTTGTAATGAAACAAAACACAACTCCAGCTATGTTTTAATGAGGTAACAAAAGTCAAGTTTGTGTAATTTTGGACCTTTAAGTAACTGTAATTAAAAAGTCATTTAAACCGTTTTTATTGTTCTCCCATATGATCAATCAACTTCAATGAATCAACTTAATGTTCCAAGGTCTCACACCATTTAATTAGAATGGCCAAAATATATCTGTTAGTGGTCAGTGTGTGTTTGTTTGACATTGTTTCATAGGTGGGTAATTCAACCCTATTCAGTGAAGTGTTATAGATAGGCTTGTCGCAATAATTACTATATGAAGTTATCATTGAATATATGAAAGCTGAAACAGTGCTTTTTGGGGTCAGTATTTATTATGAGTGCATTTTCTTTGCTCTTATGCAAAATTGTGGTTATTTTGTGGCTATATGATTAGATTTAATCTATAAAAAATATATATATTAACTTCTATGACTCATTATAGATGCAAACTAAGTACTAAAGCATTTCATTCTGCTGTTTATTTATTGCAGCTTGTGATTTGATATTGTAAACATTGTGGACTTTAATATATTTTTGTGGTTTAAAGGCGCATTGTGTAACTTTTCTGGTGGAGGGTCCATTAAATGCTTTTCTCAATGGAAATGTTATTGCTTTGTATGGGATGCTTCACACTATGGCATTAAACCTTTCTATCTTCATGGAGACCAAGTTACAGGTCACATCTGTGAAGCGGCGACCCCGTTACAGTCAGAATGCCTGTTTTTCTAGGTGTTTTTGAGCTAGAAAACCGCTGTAATTGAATAAATGTAAGGTAGAGCTTAGGGATGTAACGATATCCAAATATCTCGATATTTATTGCAATATTTTGGAGAGGCTGATTTTAGATAGGACACTTTTTTGATTTTAAAATACCCTGACAGGGATTTAGTTTGAAATATTACTGTAATAATCCCAAGAATTCAAGTAAAAAACATATAACTTCATGTTGTCTGCACTGAAATGAATCATGGGATATGTAGTTCCTGATGTTTATTAGCTATTGCTACTATAAAACCATGCATTTAAAGCAAAGGAACTTGTAATTCAATGTATTCTGACAGCCCACAGTATTATTGTGAGACTTTTGACGATACAATAATGTTTCGGTTATTGTTACATCCCTAGTAGAGCTGTTTAATGTCATACTGTGGAATATTTCATGCAGAGGAATCTCCACAGAAACAAGCACGTAATACACCCTCCACCAAAGAACTTACACAATGCACCTTTAAATCTTGCTTCATTATTGTCATTTATCGTCTTTATTTACTTTAGCAATACTTGAGCAGTTCAAAATTTGTTATCATGACAGCCCCATTGAATTCTGTATATCCTTTCTTTCCGTTTCTACTTGTGAATCCTTCGCGGTTGGTCTGGTGGTGGTGTTGCATAATCAAGCCCCTTTGAGTGGACCGCTGACTCATCCAGAAACAGGTGGTCCCCCAGAACAGCACATCGTAGGGGAGAGGAAGTTGTAGATGGGAGTTTGACATAATCTGAGGAGAAAGCTGTAAACATCAAAGTAGAGCAAATTAATATTATATGATTTACTTCCTTGTTACGTCGTGCCATCTTCTTCCTTGCCAGTGGGGGGCTTCTTCAATAATATAGTTGGTCAAAATTATACAGCTCGCTTCTCTTTCATTGCCTATAGCTTCCAAAAGAGATTGATGCATGAGATGAAATGTTATTAAATGTTATTGGCAAAAAAGTGATAATATTTTTTATGAGACAA